CGGAACATTAATAAATATATTCTGCATTAAGAATTAATTCACTTATATTTTAATTATTTCGTCTCCAAATCAATTATAGTAAAAATTTTTAAAATAATTATTATTAAAAAACAAATAGTCGTTTGTTTAAAAAAATAAACAGAAACAATGAACAACAAATAATAATAATAAATTCACTCTTGCAAAAACGCCTTCGTAGTTCATTTTTGCACCGCTGCATTGACAAGTTGATATCTTTGCTCGTTTTTTTGATAGTTTTTAATAATATCAAGCACTTTGGGGGTTTCCCATTTTATGATACTTTTCTCTATTTTTCACTTCAGCCATTTTGTTTTTTATTGTTCAGTAGAGTCAGTTGGATTATTAATGTGGAAATGATTTCACCTTTAATCATTTTATTAATAAGTAATTTGCAATTGTCTATGGAAATGCCGAAATCAAGTGAAAACTGCATAGAATCAACAGTTTTTGAGGTTCTAAATGCATTGACCAATTCCTGTTTCGTCTTTAAAGTGACAGTTCTGTATGGTTTTGTCTTGTTGTTATCTTTTAAACTATCTTCGACGTTTTCCTCTTCTTTTCTTTGTGTTGTCAGTTGAGAAAATAATCAATGTGTCGAGTTACAAAAGGAACATTTTGTTGTGGTTCGGGAACATTTTCAATGTAATCGGCGGACTTACGGGGTTAGTAACATCAATATATTCTATATGAGAACGCTTCATGTGTTTTTTCAAATTTTGATTATTGAAATGTAGATTATATAACAATTAATATAAAATTTTACTATAATTGATTTGGAGACGAAATAATTAAAATATAAGTGAATTAATTCTTAATGCAGAATATATTTATTAATGTTCCGACTAATTTATTTTCGTGCCGTTTGATTTATTTGTGGAACTCGAATTGTTTTGTTTCTGATCTTTTTTCTCTTTTTCCGTTTGTTTTATTTAACTTGTTAATACAATTTATTATAATTTACGAATTAATAAAAATTATGAAACATAATTTATTAAAATGCATAAAAAATTATTTGAAATGCTGGGTAATGGATCTGAAGTGAATACCACTGTAATAAAAAATATATAATAATTATTAAATTAATTTCGATGAACCACTGTGTTTGATGAAAAAGATTTATAACCAATCGATTTCACAATGGGTGGTATTGTAACACTTGTCAAACTACTACATCCATAAAAACAACAAACGCTGATTGATGTGACACGCAATGGTATTATTATACTGCTTAAACTACCAGAATAACTGAAACATTTATAATCAATCGATGTTACGCTCGATGGTATCTTATTACCAAATTTTTTTCTATCATTTTGAGTATAAGAAACATTTTTAAACTCGATGTTTCGACTTTTGTTTTTATCAACTGTTTGAAAATCAACATTGAACCACACAACAATTTGATAGAACTCTTTCTTTAAAACAGCTTTATTTTCACAATCATCGTTTTCTTCGGTGTTGATCAAAATTCTATTACCAAAGTTCTCATCTTTTACATCCCACAAATGAAGCATCTCGATGTTTTGGAAATAACCAATTGTTTTGGAATTCAATGGAATTGGGTTGAAATGAAACTTTTCCATATTACCACTAAACTTCTTGCATACCAACTCCAAGTTGATAAAATCTCTAACGTCGTCGACGTATATCGACACTATCATGATGTGATAACCAAAAAGTTGAGACATTTTAAATTCAGAGTTTTTGGTGTTTAAATATTTTTAAATTCGTCTTAATAAATTGTTTTAAGAAATTATCAATAAATAACATCCATTATTACAAGCTTAGAGGTTGCATAATAAAAATTGTTATATTTAAATAATAATTTATTAATATAAATAATAATACATTATTTTTATGTTAAATAATCATTAAACATCACTGTTTAAGGCGACCTTCGAGATTGTCACGACCCAAGTAATCCTAAGATCTTTTGGGTCTGATTAATTATTTTTTTGTAAATCGGCATTTTACTTTCTTCTTTACCAAATAACACAAAAATATTTTTTAAAACTTCACAATTTTTTTCTGAATTTACACATTGTTGAATTGGTTAAATAAAATTATCATTAACCTTAACAGATCGTTTTATCAATTTTTAAAACAAAGTTATCTACGCAATCAAACTTTCAAATAATCAAAAAAATCAAAAATACAACAGTGTTGATACTATAATAATTCTCGAATTAAATATCGAGAGGGTGACATTTTGCCAAACGACATTTTACCAAAAATTATTAAGAACTTTCTTAATTATTCTTTAACAAAGAAAAATTTAAAAATAATTCATTGTTGTATTTTTGTCAAGCTTTTATAAAAATATATTTTTGTCGACAATAAATAAATTGTAAATTGTATGAATAAATATATTTATATATTATTACAACTCTGCGTATTTTGTTTTTATTTTACGCTATAAAATCTTATTGAATAGAAATATTACTTGAACCAGTAACTTTGGTTATACATACAATATTTTGAGTATTTTTTTAAAGCAACATATAAAAATACACAACTTAACGTTCGTGTAAATTCACACATTGTATTATTGGAAAAGTCTCATAAGTATTATTTTTGTTTAAACAAAAATACTTGATTCAATTAACCAAACAATTTATAAACAATTGTTATCAAATTTATAAATAAAATAATATTTAATTAATTAGTATATAATTTAATGATGTATTTTTCAAAAGTGAATTTGAAATGCAATTTGTTTAAATAACCATTTGTATTCAAAAATGTATTTTCAACATGTTTTATGTAAAAATATACCACATTTAAAGTTCTTTATTGTGTTTATATGATGTCATTTGAATTACTTCGGCTCTATTATAATCACTACAACCCGAATTATTAAAATTGAATTATCATTTTATTAACTTTTATCAACTTTATTTCATTAAAATATTTATAAAAATAATTGTTTATTTTTACATTTATGTATTTATATTACTTCATTTATTTTGTATTTTTTTATTATAAATACAACATCAAAACTAATATATAACAAGAATGAGCATCAAAAGCACAAGGGGAAAAGAATTGCCTATTTATGATGGTTATTTGTTTCATACTATAGACAAAGAAAGAACACACTTTCGCTGCTCTTGTCGAAAGTGTAAAGTGACTATAATAAAAAACACAGATGGAAGTTATCATTATGGCAAAACAACAACTCACATTCACGAAAAACAAGATTTACGCAGAAAAAATCATTTAAATTTTATCAAAAATGACTTACAAACTTCACCAACAAAAAAATTAACAATGAAATCAGTTATAACAAAATACAAAAGAGGTTCTATAGGAATAACACAATCGACATTAGAACGCTTTGTTCAAAAAAACAAAGTTCACAAAATTGAACCAAATTCATATGATGATATTATAATAAGTGTTGGCGACTTCAATTTATTATTCAAAGATGAGCAAATTGGAATACTTATATTTGGAAATAGCGAACAATTGACAATGTTAGCAAGATGCAAAGAAGTGTTTATGGATGGGACTTTCCGGAGTTGCCCCAAACAATTTTATCAGCTATATACACTGCATTGTCAATTACAAAACAACCAAACATTTCCAGCAATTCACTATTTGTTGAAAAACAAAACTTTAAATACATATGAAACACTTTTTAATGCCATTGAATGCTTGCTAAAAGAAATCAACGAAAATTATACTTGTTTTGGAAGAAACGTTGTTGTTGTGACTGACTTCGAAAATTCGCTTATCGCTGTTTTAAGAAAATACAAAACTTTTGGTCTAGAGCACAAAGGATGCCTTTTTCATCAACGTCAAGCCATACGAAAGTTTATCAATAATGCTGGACTTAAATGTGAGTATTCTTTAAATACGGAATTCAAAGATGCAGTGAAAATATTAGAGTCCGTGTGCTTTTTGAAAGAAGAAGATATTATTCAAAAAGTTGGTATTTTAACGGCGTGGTATTCTCATGTACCTTCATTTGGGATAGTTGTGGAATACTTCAATAAAGTGTGGATAAATGGCGCGTTTCCCATTTCATTGTGGTGTCAATTTATGAGAAAAAAAGAGGACTAATAATGATTGTAAGTCTTACCACGCCGCGCTCACCAGGAGGCTTGAGTTCTTGAAACTTGGTTTTTGGAAGTTCGTTGAAAAAATCGGAGAAGTGATAGAAGACGTTAATAAAGATCTAAAAAACATGAAAAACGGACATTATAAAAAATCAAACAGTAAAGTTGAAATAATATTTAATACACTTAAAAATTTAACAACAAATTATTTCTGTGGTGAAATCAATTTAAATTGTTTTCTCGAAAAGGTAAGTGTGTTATTTGATGGTTTAAATCATGAAGTTTACTTCGAAGTCGAAAATTGTGAACAAAATGAGACAGAAAATGTTACAAACGAAAATTGTGTAGCTTGTATCAATGAAAATGTTGTTGATATAAACACTTCAACAAATGGTGATATGTTTGAAAGTAAAGACTTTATCCAACAAACAAGACTTGAAAATAAAAATCCAACTAAAATTGTTGATATTCAAAATACAAAGAAAAAAATTATACGTGAAAAAAAGCCAAGAAAAAAAAGAAGATCTGTAATCCAAGAAATCAAAAAAGAGTGTAGAAAAAACAAAAACAAAAAATAATTAAGTAATTTATTTTTTTAATATTTTAATGAAATAAAGTTGATAAAAGTTAATAAAATGATAATTCAATTTTAATAATTCGGGTTGTAGTGATTATAATAGAGCCGAAGTAATTCAAATGACATCATATAAACACAATAAAGAACTTTAAATGTGGTATATTTTTACATAAAACATGTTGAAAATACATTTTTGAATACAAATGGTTATTTAAACAAATTGCATTTCAAATTCACTTTTGAAAAATACATCATTAAATTATATACTAATTAATTAAATATTATTTTATTTATAAATTTGATAACAATTGTTTATAAATTGTTTGGTTAATTGAATCAAGTATTTTTGTTTAAACAAAAATAATACTTATGAGACTTTTCCAATAATACAATGTGTGAATTTACACGAACGTTAAGTTGTGTATTTTTATATGTTGCTTTAAAAAAATACTCAAAATATTGTATGTATAACCAAAGTTACTGGTTCAAGTAATATTTCTATTCAATAAGATTTTATAGCGTAAAATAAAAACAAAATACGCAGAGTTGTAATAATATATAAATATATTTATTCATACAATTTACAATTTATTTATTGTCGACAAAAATATATTTTTATAAAAGCTTGACAAAAATACAACAATGAATTATTTTTAAATTTTTCTTTGTTAAAGAATAATTAAGAAAGTTCTTAATAATTTTTGGTAAAATGTCGTTTGGCAAAATGTCGTCATCCCTTAAATATCCACTTAAATAATTATTGTTTATTACATTGAATTTATCGATTGTAAATAGTAACTTTGGTGAAATGACTATGAAAATTATTAAAACAAAAATAAACGATTATCATCAATTTCATTGTGTAACTACTTCGATGTACACAATTTTCGTTAAACGATTTTTGTTGATAATAACATGTAAGAGAGTTGTTATATACGATTATTCTTTTATAACTATCGTTTTCTTGTTATTCATGTAAAAACACATGATTAAACATATATACCTTAGTAACACCACAACATTTATTATTATATATAATAGAAACATGTATTGATTATTAATTTCAATAATTTAATAACAATAGATGATATATCAGGTTTCACTGTTAATCACAACATTTTCATTTTTATAAAATGTCAAAAATAAAACGTGATAAATTTTTAGTGTAAAAACGTGTAACATCAAACCTGAACTTAAAATCATTACATTAAAATTACTGGAATAACACAGTTTTAGAACAGTTTTGCTTATAACTTGCTTTTCTCTCACATTTATACATAAAATATAAAAATAAATATTTCATCATCAAAAAGCAGAAGCAGACGATAAAAATAATTTTGATTTCAGTTCTTTGTTGTGGTACATTAACTTAGTTGTTTCAACAAAAATAAATACACTTTTCATGATTATTTTAAAATTCAATTCCATACATATTTATCTTTTATAACAGTTATTTCTTTAGATTATACAAAAAGTGCATTAAAACATAAATGTTTGTTTTTTGGATTTATAATACGATGCACATATAATCTAAGTAATACACAAACAATTAATAACAATTCAATTGCTTTCAAATTGATTATTAATAAAAAAGGAAAATATTTTTAATTAAATTTATAAAATATATTTAATCTAAGTGACAACACCAATGTAATTAAAAAATACAAAATGTTTATTATCAATATTTATAATTATAATAGATTATAATAAATTATATAATATATTTGTTCACATGTATATTTGATTATTTATCATGAACAAAATTAATGTAGTTGTCAGTTATATTAACCAGTAAATATATTTTATTTAAACGTAACATGTACAAATGGGTGTGAACAACAAGTAGTTAAAAATATTTATTTACATTCTTTTCATAATATAATATTTATGTATTTGTTTAGTTTGAAATTATATGTTTTCACATTTAATAATTTTATCCGTTTTTACAATAAGCGTATAGAGTATAAAAATAAATCATTTTATTTTAATAATCAAAATACAATATTTTGATAATTATTTCAATTATCAAAATACAATCATTAATAGTAACTGTATAATCATGTTATTATTTCACTATTCAATAATGGTTGTGATGTCATTTTTATAATGTGCTATTTATGTGTGTAATCAAACATAATAAATTAAAAAGATAATATATATATTCTATAAAGTTATTTACATGTTATTATCGACAGCGAGTTATTGGAAAATAATCGTTTTTAATGTGGTTACACAATAAAAATGGTCACACCCGTTCTAAATTTAAAAGATAATATTAATTATCAAAAATATGTCAAAAACAATTATTCTCTTTGGTTTATGTTTACATCAAAATTTACATTTAAACATGATTGTTAATTATTTATTTATCATTCCATGTCTTGTAATATTGGTAACTGTATGCGTGAATATCAAAAAACCACTTTTTTGATTTGAAATACAATTGTTTAAATATGAATATTTTAAAAGAAATACTATTATTTTTTTGTTTACCAAATAATTTTTTTATAATCACTTTTTCAACATAAAAAAATATTAATTAATTATTTTTTTATATTTATAATTATTTGACACGCATTTCAAACCTTTTTTACAAGTTCTTAATTATTTTACGTATGTTTTTGACTTTAAATAATTATTGTCAGCCCAAGCATTTTGATGAATTTTCAAGGTGGCCTTTATATAATATTATATATATTGTCAAATTCAAAAAACGGACTGATAAATATTCCACTATTAATTAAACATAAAATACCTAAGTTTTAAAATTAACTGATTATTGGATCAAAAAAGTTAAGACAAAGGTATTTTCAATTTTTTCTAAAAAAAAATCAAATTTCAAAAAAAATCTTTTTTTCCGAGTTTATTTATAATTCGATAGGTTTTTTGAAGACAAAAAATCTGATTATTATTTCTTATTTTCAAAACAAAATTTTCATAATAAAAATATAATTAAAAATACAACTAAAACATGTATAAAGGCGATCACGGTGAATCTATTTACAGGGGTGAAAATGAAGGTATTAATTTGAAAGTGAATATATTAATTTAGGGTTCATTTTCTTTTAATCTATTGGCCAAAAACGAACTAACAAGTAAATCATTAAATTTAAGCCATTTAATGCGACATAACTAAACTGTTTTCCAAAACTCTGTACCGTTTCCAAAATTTATATAAACCCTTTGTCCTAGTTTCCCGTTATTTACTATTTTTTATTTGTTTTATTTTCCTATTTGTTGAACCAACAACGGTACACAGTTTAAAACCCTTAAAAATCAATACAATTTCAATTATTGAACAAAAAATCGGGAAATCACCCAAATATTGGGTAAATCTTCCCCGATTTTCCAGGTTCGTTATTTGGTCAGTGGTTCATTTTGTAACTAAACGTAAGAAAAATTCTATCTTTCAGATAAACATAAGATAAACGACAATAAAACAATAAACAAATGATGTAATGAAGGACATTATTGCATCAAATAATACAACACTTAAATTAATAATAAGTTTTTGTTTATTTCAACAATTAAAAAAGTAATCGATAACAAAAAACAAACCTTTAAACAATCAAGTTTATTAATCAAAAGAGTCTTAAATAAAATAAACAGTTCAAAAATAAAAAATAAAACTTTTTTAATTGTAAGTCTTAATGTTATTTTTTCTCTCTCAATGCTTGTTTTACTCATTAGTACTTTTCATTTTTATACAAAACACGACTTGGTGATTCTGTTAACATAGACATTTAATTATAAAGTTGTGTTTTATGTTTTTGGCAAATTTTGGGTTATGGTAATCAAATTTTTGATCCCAAGTTTGTTTTTTATATTTTTCAAGTAAATTTTTGGTGCAAGATTTATTTGTCAAGTAAAATTTAAAAAAGTCGGGTTCGTTATTTTGTTTTTTTGAGTAAATATTTATAACAAAAAATGAGGGTTAAGCAAAGGAAAAATTATTAAGAAATTATTTGTCTAAAAAATCGGGGCATCCCAGTACAGAGTTTTGAAAAACAGTTTACAACAAAAAACAAGTAAAATTGGACAAAAACCACTATTTCCAACACAATCACGATTTTTGAAAAAGGAAAACATAGTTAATATAATAGTTACAAAATTATAAAATTTATTATAATTTTCAACACAAAATATTATAACAATATTAAATATTTACTATACATTATATTATTCATGTATATGATAAATTTATCATTATTTTGTTATTATTCAAACAACACTCGACATATAAATAATTTACCATACTTTGGGTTGTGTTTTACGGCCTTCATGACCGGCCTGCGTTTAAAAAACACAAACCTAAGTGTAATAATGAGTTGTATTAACCATTCTGAACTTCATTATAACATTTTTAAATAACTGCGTTGATAATAAATAAATAAACAACCCATAAAGGTACTCCCCAAGCTTTTTAACACACTTATAATATTTATCAAGTTGTAAACGGGTTATGTTTTGTCTTAAACCCTGAAAATACAATTGAATAATAACAAATTTACTATAACACACCGTCAACTATTTATAATGGTTTAATTATAACAATTATTACTATTGATTCATTTTTTAACTTGAGCTGATTATTAAAAACACACAAATTCATGATGAATTTTTATATTACCATTGATATAATTAGAATACTATTAACCCTTCCAGTACCAGAAATCAACAAAATTTAATTTTTATTTTTTTTCAAAAATTTTCAAAAAAACAAAACCCAATTCCAAAATTCTGAAAAGTTGACAGGAAAATTACCATTTTATAGTTCATGAAAGCCAGTAAAAATAATGTATAAACAAATAACCGTCATTTTTTTTTCAAAACAACAGAAAAACTGAATAAGTGAGTAGCAATTTTGTATCGAGTGTAACAATTACTTGTTGTTTATAATAAAAAATAATTCAAAAAGTATAACAAGTGTTAAAAATGCCAAATGTTTCGAAGATACGAAAAAGAATTTAAAAATTTTAGTTTACAGTTCATATTGTATAGTTTTATTATTATATATTTACTATAATGACAACAAAAACGATGAATTAAAATAATTGGTTTAAATTTAAAAGTATAGTTTATTCGTTGAACCCTTATGTGGGGTTATGTGTGTTACTTGCTAATTCATTGAACATTTTCACTTTTCTTTTTGTCCCTTTAGTGTATCATCATATCGCTCTTCTTCATTTCTGTTATATAATTTCGTTTTCGACGCTTTTATCGTTTTTTTGGTTATAGACAAAAGACATTACATCATAACAAGTATATATAAAATGAAAATAAATAAACATCAACAAACATCAGTCCAAAGCAAATAAAAGTTGTTCTTTTCACTCATTATCTACTACGTATATTTGTTCAAATATGTTTTTGCGTGTATATTTAACTGTGTATATTCATGAAACACTGCAGAATTTTACCCCCTCATTATTATTGATAAATAAAATTTACTCAAAAACAAACATTTAAAATGAAAGTTTAACATGTACATTTTTGAGAATTACGAATCTGTTTGTTAGTATTTGACAGAGCACATAAAAACTATAAACAAACTATTACATTTGAGTACAAAAAGTCGTATTTGCGTGCTTGTGTATACATTCACCCATTCTTCGTTAACATGTTTATGTTATATCATCCTTTTAGTGTTATTTCCATATTATTTTCAGTTCAACTTTCAGGGTTGTTGTTTATATTTATTTTTATTTTAAAGTATTTTTATAAAGTAAAATGAATGTTATTTTGTTTTAAATGTTATTATAATATATTTTCATTAATTTAATTTGAATTATGTGATATAATAATTAAACTATTATAAAACCATTATACCAACATTCATGTTATAAAAAACATCCAAACTCGTTCTTATCACATGGAAGACTTGATTGTTGTTGACTACAAGTGGAAAGCAATGGGCCCCATCAACAAAGAAAAGAAAAAGTTCAAAAGGAATATTGCGAAGGTGGGTGCTGACTATAAAGCAGAATTTTGTAATTCGACTGCTTCTGACTTGTTTTTTGGGTTTTTTGACGAAAATTTAGTCGAAAAAATAACAGCATTTACCAACGCCAATTATCAGGAAAAAAAGGTAAACCCCAAATAACAAAAATAGACACTATACGATATTTCGGCATTTTACTATATATGGGAGCACACCACGACATAAAGAATCCAATTTCCGAGCTTTGGAACGAAAAACACGGGAAAACAAATATTTATGGTAAAGCTATGCCCAGAAATGTTTTTCAACTTATCAATGCTAACATCGAGACTTACGATGTCACAACTTTTCCGGATGAGTTGAGAAAGAGAGTTGTTTTATGGGTGATGAAGAAGAGAGTGAGGAAAGTGCATCCGATGAAGAGGAAAATCCAGAGAATAAAGAAGAGACCGAAGAAGAAGATTATTTGAGTTGTGATGAGTGGGTCAAAAAACATCCTGTTGACCTGACCGAAGAGAAGCTAAAAAGGGATGTTGAAGTGAGACAAAAAGTAAATGATGAAGAGACTATAGAAAAGTGGTTAATCAAAGCATCAAACACGCCAAACTCGAATGACAAGTTTGGCAAAATTAGGGAAGTGTTGGAAGCTTTTATTCACAACTTAGTGAACAACAAATACTTTACACCGAGCACCACACTATCGGTTGATGAACACCTTTGCGCATTCAAGGGAAAGATATGGGCAAAGGTATTCATCAAGTCCAAACCTCAGCGTTACGGCATCAAGTTTTGTTTTTTTTTGTTTTTGTTGTAAGAATAATCAATGAAGTCGGAGATTCACGGTGTTGAGACATATACATCGGTAATTGACTTGTTGTTAATATTGTGTTTGATAATATGTTCAATGAATAACAAAAAGATGTGCTGTGATTGTGAAAGTGGTATGGTTATAAACCTACAGATGTACTGTGGAAAATTCGACAAGAAGGAATAAAATTAAGGATTTCGGGTGACGATAGATATGGTGGCTCCGCAACTGTGTATGGGAAAGTTTGTGACAGTTGTATGTGACAACTTTTTCTGCAGCTTAAGATTTGCACATTATTTGGCTCAATATGGTTCAACATTGCTTGGGACTGTGCGAAAAAACAGAGTTGAGGTACCAGAAGAAGCCAAGCAAATCAAACGTTATGACCCCAATGATGATAAAAAGGCTACTACAAGAGAGGCAGATTCAAAGAAAGTGTATACAAAGGGTGTATGCAAACTGCTTTCTTACTATTACGAAAAGAAGAAGTTGGTGCTCATTATGACGACGATGCATAATGCTAAAGAGTTGTACACCGTTCAGGAGCAAGTGAGGGGAAAGGATGGCAAACTTGTGAGTGTACACAAACCAAATGTGATAAAACAATACAATGCGACAATGGGAGGTGTTGATAGTGCAGATCAGATGATACACACTTACACTTGTAGAAGGCCCACTTCAAGATGGAATGTGAGAATACTTTATGATTTACTTGACATCGCTGCCCTCAATGCCTACAAGGTATATCATCATCACCACGATAAGGTGGACAGGTTGAATTTCCTCAATGAATTGACAGAGTTATTGATGGAAATGGAGTAAATTACTTTATTGGTTTTATAGGTTTTATTATAGTTAATTATCTATTTATTTTCTTTGTTATTTTTCTGTTTCTTTTGTGATCTCTGAAAATCATTTCTGTATATCGTACAATATTCAAAGCGGTTTTTTTACATATTTATAGGGGAGGGGCTTTGCTTTTTTTATAAAATTATTATTATTATACTAATTTTTTACTATAATATTATACAAATAAATGATGTGATTACATAATATTCTAAATCTCTGACTCACATCACCCCGATTCTTCGTTTTTGTATGCTTTATCATTGATTTTAAATTTGTAAGGATAGCATCACTCTACTGAGTTAATATATCAATTCAATATAGAAGAATTGTGAATCTATTTGTTGGTTAGTTCCTATTGTGTATCCCTGTATAAACGCCACAAACAACAAACAGTATATTCACTTCAAATAGCTATATATTGTGAAAGTGGGTGTATAGAATACAAAATCTGGTTGATAAGAGTCATTATCTTATAAGTATATAAACTGGTTCCGTTTTTTAGGAAGTGTACATTTTTTTGATACGTATGTTTTACTAAAAATATACAGAAAAACCTGCTGTTCTATTTTTATTTTGCTTCCGAATTATTTTTTTCAATTAATAACCAATTACAATAAACAAATTTTTCATTAATAATAAGGTTCAAACTCCTAAGGTTTTATTTTTAAAACACTGGATTTTTTTCCATTTTTTCAAATTGTTTGAAATTTGATAAATGGCCAATTGGACCTCCTTTTTGACTCACACATAATTCAAAATGTGTTTTAATTGAAAACATCAATTTGTCGATTAATGATTGTGGAATTTCATTCCAAATCTTTCTCAATAAAAAAACAATCTCTTTTCTGTTTTAATAACCGGGTAGTTTTTTCTTAACTTTCTATCCATAATTCCCCATAAATGTTCTATTGGGGATAGATCTGGAGAATTTGATGGCCATAACATCAGCCTTACACCATTTGATTGTAAATATTTTTTAGTTGTAAGTGAGCGATGGGCAGGAGCACCATCTTGTTGAAAATGCACAATGTTGTTGTTTAGTTTCTTTCTAACATCTTCGAAGAAATGACTTTTTTCGAGTAATTCAATATATTCTTTTCCTCCCTCTTTTTGTGAACAACGTATTAATTTACTCTTGTATCCGACCCCGATAGCTCCCCATACCATTATTGAACAGTTGTGTTTGGGAGTTTGAGAAAAATGTTCTTTGATGGCTTTGGGAACTTTTTTGTTGCCCATTCTTTTGTTAAATTCGCGTAGATTTGCTAAAAATGATTTTGGTCTCCAAAATCATTTTTAGCCACTTTTTGTCTGGATACAACCCAAACCGACTTTCATCACTTATTATTGTTTTTTCCCATTTTTTAATATTTTTATTCCAAAGTTGTTTTTTGGAAAATACCCATCTGTCTTTTATTTGTTTTTGAGTCAAAACTTGTGTGGATATTTGTTTGCAATATCTAAAATGATTATTTTTTCTTATTTTATCTGCGGTTGTTTTTGAACAGCCGACAATTTTTCCTACTTCAAAACATGATGAAAAGGGTTTGTCGTATGTTATTTTGGATATTTCAATATTTATTATATTTGATAAACTTTTTCTTCCTCTTTTTATTGGAATAACATTTTTATGTTCTTCAATGCATTTTTTAATTCTTGAAATTCTTTTTGGAAAAGTTTTGAAGAGTGTTTGAATTTCTTTGTAGTGCCTACCAGCTTTTAAAGCATTAGTGATAAGTTCATCCTTTTCCATTGTCATATTTAGTTAAGATTACAACAATTTATAGTGATTTCAAAAAGTGAAATTAAAATTTGATTTTGTTAAGGTGTTTAATAAATAAAATACTTATATACAATAGTTTTTTAATACAATAATTATAGTTAATATTAGGTTGTGTTATAATAAACTTCTTTGTTTTTAAAATGTTAAATTGTTTTGGGTTTATAATATTCATATATGCCAACAGTTTTGAAGTAATAATAAGAAGAGAATTGAAATAAAAATTTCTCGTGTTGTTTTGTTCAAAAAGTACAGGCAAATATTATTTATGTCAATTATTCTAGTCTATTTCTGTGCCACTATTAATCAATAATAAGTCAAAAAACCCAAAAACGTTTAATTTTAGGTATAAATAATTTAGAATACTTTTCCCGATTAATTAACCAAATTTAAAAAATAATACACTTCCGAATTTCTTTTTTTAGTTTACATAAAGTATACACCCTTTATCAGTAAATCTTTCGTTTTCATTAATTTTCTGGTTTTGATTTTTATTTCAAAAATGCATTTTCAAAAAACAAAAAAAAACAATCAGACAAAACAGATTATTTGTTACCATTTGTTTTATAATAACAAACAAATACTTGTCTTTCCAATCATATAGAAAAATTTGCTCTCTGTATTCATAATACATTTGTCTTTTTTTGAAAAAGTCATATCTTTATTACTCACAACTGGAAGACATACGAAATTAAATAAACAATATGTCATGATCATTTAAGACAAATTTTGGTTTTACTGTCTTTATTTTACTCCTTGAGTTGTTTATGACTCTTTTTCTATTTAAATTGATGTGTCTGACGATTAAAAATCAATCTTATTCATTTATTATTAAATTAAAAGGTTTTTATTGTTTATTGAATAATAAAAAACTAAAAAAATGTGATTTTCACAAAAGTGTATTTTCTTCTTATTTTTTCAGTTTTATATTTTACTCTTTTTTGACAAACTCGAATTATTTTATTTTTCACTGAATTACAAAAAGATGAAAAAATAATTATGAGATCACAGTGTTTTTTGTTTGATGTAATCGCTTTTCTGAATATTCAAGGAATGATGTATCCCTTGTTTTTCAATAATAAATATTCAAATTGAAAAGTTATATAATTCAATTTTACATTCTGAAACTCCTTATCGTAAAGATTATTAATGTGTTTAGTTTAATATACTATACTATTTTTTTGATATAAAAACAAAAACTTTTTCAACTTGAAAAGAGAATAATCAGAGGAATCTTCAAGTCTCCCTCGTTGAAAAAAGTGAACATTTTTTCAATAAAAATACGATTTTAGGTTATAATTTACTATTAAATTATAACATTTTAAATTATTTTTACTAATAATTTTGTTTCCTGGTATTTCCCATGGTTGTTAAAAGTTTAAAGCGTTTTTGCATTTTTTTACTCTAAAATACACTCAAAATGAATAAGATTATATTAAGTATACATTTTTGGAAATTCCTGGTACTGGAAGGGTTAAAATATTAATATGTTGGAATCGTTACATAACATAATTATTGATTCTTTTCATTTTGTTTGCATTGTTTTTCATTGCCAAATTCAAATCAAAGGGATTGGCTTAATTTACGAATCATAAAACCTAGAAAAATGCCAAATTTAACATCAAAAACCCCAAATTAATACATCCGCTTTCAAGTTTAAACCTTCAGTTTCACCCTCGTATGTTGATTATTTTGGCTTTTTTTACTCAGGAAATAAATATAGAACGATTATTATTAAAAATGAAAAATTTAGAAAACAATTTTTTACCTTATAAAAATACAACATACTTTGTTCTAAATATAAAAAACATAATAATTGCATAATAATATTTTATATTTTGAATCAGTTTCTCAACATTTTCTTTTTAAAAAAATAATTCTTGTTATCTTTTAATAAAAAGTTTAATATATTTACTAAATTATATAGTTCAAATAATTATTTTTACAAATATATACAAAACTGCAATTGAATTGTAAAAATATGTCATTAGAACAAAACTCAGATTAAGAAAGTGATAGCGAATTTGAAAATATAAATAATGATTATATTGATCAAAATAAAAATGATGAAAAGGAGGAAAGAGAAGATGAAAAAACGATAAAAAAGAAAAAAGACTTATTCAACAACAACTTCTTCAATAAAATCACAAAGAAAAGTTTAAACAAATGGGACAAAAGTTGTTATTTTTCTACATGAAAGAGTATGTTGCAGAGAGTGGAAGTACATCAAAACAACACCTTTTCGTTCTGTGTGATTATTTGTTTAATAAATTTGAAACAATGGAAAAATTAAGAGACGAAAGAAGAACAGCAAAAGGAAAAAACAAACCAAAAAGAAAATCATCACTCCATGTATTGAATAAGATGCTATTAATATTCCTGATTTCATCAACTTTCATTGATCTGAATTATTCAGAGTCTCAAATGAA